GATGGCATCATATGCTTGCATTATCTTTCATAAAAAATAATTTGCAAATGTTACTCTCTAGCTAGTGACTCATTCACAACAGTGTTATGACGTCATTTCACTCAAAGTTTTTCAAACTTCAAGACTTACATACGTGTTGCACTAGAATTATCATTCTCATAATAAACATTCTTCTACATACAAAATAACTGATTGACATCAAGTAAGTTCACACAATGAACAATCGGTAAAGAGCTCAATCTTGCCAGAGAAGAGAGGCTTGAATACTCTGTTGAAGCTAGAGTTAGCTGTCACAAGAGAAATGACTTATCTAGGGGAGTTTTAACCAATGATTCTGTCAAGAGAAAGCATCTTGGTGCTTCATAGTCTGAGTACCCTTTAGGGATGAAGTTATCATATTTCGCCAATCTGGGGTAATTAAGTCGAGAGTCGATCTCTTCGAGGTCAGCCAAATGTGGGGAATTCCATCAAAGCTATCAATCAGAGGCTATCACGTAGATAAATCTCTTCAAGCTAATATCAATCAGAGGCTATCATGTTGTTAAATCTCTTCAAGTTACCGTCGATCAGGGGCTATCATGTCGATAAATCTATTCAAGCTAATATCAATCAGAGGCTATGACGTCGACAAATCTCTCCAAGAAAGTTGTAATCAAGAGAAGTTTATTTCGCGACACAAGAGATTAGGGAAGGCCACCTCATATCATATTATGGCACGAATATTCTGGTCTTCTATCTAGCACAGATTCTTTCATGAATTCCATAGACAGGAACATTCCTCATCAGTACCCACAAATTTGCCCGAGCCAATTATGTTGCATGATAACATCAAGCTAGAAGTATCATAATGGTCACCCTGACCTAGCCAACGCACGAAGCCTCCTTCATCTGCTACAGACAATTTCAAACCTGATTCCCCAAGTGAATTCAGAAAGCCCAGAGTCATCGTTTGACTTGGTGCACACAAGTGCACGTCCTCCAAGAGTTAAACTGAGGCATTCATAGAGCTGAATCAGGGCATCCCTAGTGGAGTAAATCGGGGCATTCGTAGAGTTAAACTGGGGCATTAACGGGCATCCACATCCATCTTTTCATCCTCAAGTGATTCAAGAGGTAATTCCCCAGTGTGGCGTAAACTTGGGTAAGTATTCAAAGAGATCCACATGGTGCTCATTATCTCTTCCTCAACAATATAATCCAGAATGCAGTGGCGTACCTGAAAAATCGCTTCATCGGCAATTCAATCTCCAGTAGAGTCATTGATAATCTTCGGCATCAGGAGCTCCCCACTGCGAATTTTTATCAGTGTCCCTAGCAATCTTTGGTACCATGGGTTTCAAGCGCTGATATGTATTGGCATCTACGGTGATGAGCAACAGTTACCAATGAGCATTCGCTTATCCTCATGAAGTATATTTCTATGCATTGCATGTAGTTATCATTGCATAACATTTCATCCTCAAAAGAGCATAGCGAATCCATCAGAATGAATCTTTGTAGCAAAAGAAATTCAAACATGCCTACGAAGCATAAGCCAGGTCAGGTACCTTACACAAAATACCTGAATCATTTAAAGACAACAATACATCCACACAAGAGGATATCACTCCTAAATCCCCAACTGGTGACCTTCACCTTCAGAATGCCCAGCAAAATCAATACACCTTGTCATATAAATCCAGTTCTTGTCTGGTAGTCAGTTCTCGTCTGAAAATCAAGTCTAAACCCATATCCCTTCTGGTAGCCAGTTCTTGTCTGATAAATAACGTAGTCATTCAACACTCGTCTACATCAGCTACCAACACTCACCTGTGTTAGCTCTCCAAACACTCGTTTGTGTCAACCTGCATCGTCCTAAACACCCGCCCGTGTTAAACATTTCTTTAATACCCATCCGTATCTTCTTTCGACACTCGTCTATGTCAGTTATCCAAACACATGTCCGTGTTAAACATTTCTTTGATACTCTTCCGTATCTTCTTTCGACACTCGTCCCTATCAGTTTCTCCAAACACTTTTCTGTGTTTAACCTTTCCATGATACTCGTCCTTATCTTCTTTCGATACTCGCCCGTATTGATTCAAACACCCATCCGTGTTTAACCTTTCCCTGATACTCGTCTGTATCTTCTTTCAATACCCGTCTGTATTGATTCAAATACCCATCCGTGTTAAATCTTTCCTTGATACTCGTCTGTATCTTCTGTCAATACCCGTCCGTATTGATTCAAACACTCGTCCGTGTTTAACTGTTCCTTAATACTCTTCTGTATCTTCTTTCAATACCCGTCAATATTGATTCAAACACCCGTCCGTGTTAAATATTTCCTTGATACTCGTTTGTATCTTCTTTCAATAATCATCCGTATTGATTCAAACACTCGTATGTGTTTAACCTTTCCTTGATACTCGTCTGTATCTTCTTTCAATACCCATCCGTATTGATTCAAACACTCGTCCATGTTAAATCTTTCCTTGATACTCATATGTATCTTCTTTCGATACTCATCTGTATTGATTCAAACACTCGCCCGTGTTAAATCTTTCCTTGATACTCGTCTGTACATTCTTTCAATACCCGTCTGTATTGATTCAAACACTCATCTGTGTTTAACCTTTCCCTGATACTCGTCTGTATCTTCTTTTAATACCCGTCCGTATTGATTCAAGCACTCGTCTGTGTTTAACCTTTCCTTGATAATCGTCTGTATCTTTTTTCAATACCCATCCGTATTGATTCAAACACTCGTCCGTGTTAAATCTTTCCTTGATACTCGTCAGTATCTTCTTTCGATACTCATTTGTATTGATTCAAACACTCGCCCGTGTTAAATCGTTCCTTGATACTTGTCTGTATATTCTTTCAATACCCGTCTGTATTGATTCAAACACTCGTCTGTGTTTAACCTCTCCTTGATACTCGTTTGTATCTTCTTTTAATACCCGTCCGTATTGATTTAAACACTCGTTCGTGTTAAATCTTTCCTTGATACTCGTCTGTATCTTCTTTCAATACCCGTCTGTATTGATTCAAACACTCGTCTGTGTTTAACCTTTCCTTGATACTCGTCCGTATCTTCTTTCAATACCCGTCCGTATTGATTCAAACACTTGTTCGTGTTAAATCTTTCCTTGATACTCGTCCGTATCTTCTTTCGATACTCGTCTGTATTGATTCAAACACTCGCCCATGTTAAATCTTTCCTTGATACTCATCCGTATCTCCTTTCAATATTCGTTCGTGTTGATTCAAACACTCGTTCGTGTTTAACCTTTCCTTAATACTCGTCTGTATCTTCTTTTGATACTCGTCTGTATCTATTCAAACACTCGTCTGTGTTTAACCTTTCCTTGAAACTCATTTGTATCTTTTTTCGATACTCGTCTGTATCGATTCAAACACTCGTTGTCTGTGTTATACTTTCCTTGTATTGGCATCATGCTACATTACAAGTCAGATCTCTTCCTTGTATTGACACCACGCTACGTTACAAGTCCGATATATCCCTTGTATTGGCATCACGCTACATTACAAGCTCAATCTCTTCCTTGTATTAGCATCAAGCTACGTTACAAGTCTTCTCTTCCCTTGTATTGGCATCATGCTACCTTCCAACACTCGTCGTGTTAGTTTCTAAACACTCATCGTGTCAATTTATAAACACTCATCATCGTCAACTTCTAAACACTCGTCGTGTCAGTTTTCAAGTACTCTTCGTATCGGTTTCTAAACATCGTTTAGACACCGTTGCCATGTTACGAGCAATCACTTTCTGGGTTCATCCATAAACCCTTAAATCTTTCTCACCAGAAAACGAAAAATTCATTCCCCAATAGATATCCCAAAACAAATACTCACACTTTCCATCAGAACAAATTTTTGGCATTGGTATTTAATCATCTTCTACCTCGAACTTTCGAAAGGCACACACCAATCGTACTTTCAGGTTTAAGACGATTAAATAGGGGCAGCTGTAGTGCCCCAAATTTGTACTACCCTTCCATTTTCATCTGAATCTCGCACCCTTCTCACGTATATAACTCTCGTTAGGTCATTTTACACGTCATGCATCATTGATCAATAACTTGGCGTGGGATCAAAGATCTTGAGGTGTAGGGTTTCTCTTTGGCTTTGAGAGTCTCACTTTCATTCAAGGATATTACAAGACTTTCATCTTTAAGGTTCCTTCAAAAGTATCAAGTGTTTACGATCTCCTCAATGATTCATAATCAAATGAGGAGGCTTCAAATTAAGGTTGTTGTACTTAACTTCATCATTACAAGGGTTGGATCCATGGTGAGAGTCTATGAGCTTGAGGACGCTTTGGTGATACATTGGTTGCATAGGATACAGGTTACAAGATATGATTTGTAGATTCAAAACACCATTTCTCTTTCAGATATCAGTTGCTTGTCATGCAATTTGAGTTTGGCTCAGATTTGGAGAGTTAAAATTAGAGGTTCATTAAAAATGCAAGATAATTTGGATTTGAAGTCAATTCAAGTGGTTCCATTATGCAAAATTGGTACTATAAAGTAAATTCAAGATCAGATCAAAAAATATCAAAGTTGGTTGAAACTTGTAAACTTGGAAAGAAAGTATTTAGATTTCTTGGAATTTAAATAAACAATGTTACAAAGAGACATCTCATTCAATCAAAATCCAAGTGTATCAAGACTTATTCAAGAGCAAGTACAAATTCAAAGCATAGTTCAGGTAACTACATTTAGCCATCACCTCAAAAGCAAGTCCATCTTCCAAATACCAAAATCATAACAAGTTTAAAACAAAACCATATACATACAAAGAAAATTACACAAAAGTTTCATATTCTAAGCTACTACATCTTGCTAAAAGTCTATTTCCCATGAGCCAAAGAAGTATCCATGAGTCTTGTTCTTTATCATGCGTTCACGATATAGTCCCTTCTTCAAATGATCATCCTACTTTGCACTTCTTCCTTTATAGCTCCAACTTTCTTCATTGACCTTCTTCATGATTCAAGCCAATTTGAAACATAAACCTTTGCCAATTTTCATTTGAAACCTGCACATATTTCAATCCAAACAATTCAAGTCAGCATAATGCAATACATGATTACTCCACCCTATTCACCATTTAACGCCTAATTGTATTCACTAACCTTAGGACTAATTCATAAACCTGCATAATATCTAATTGAAACCAATTCACAACTGCCTAATTGAGTTAACTACCTACCAGCTCATTCAAACAAAACCATTTCTAACCATTCTAACAACCCCCTAACTGTTTCTAACCGATTCTACAACTTTCAAAAACCGCTAACAGAACTCCTCAAACTTCTAACCTATTCCAAACCACCTTCAAACACCCTAACCATAATCTCATATAACTCCTAGCTGCCAACTCTATAACTCCCCTAACTGTTTCTAAACAGAAATAACCAACCTTTGTTTCAATTAACCAACCTATAACCAATATGAAACTAACTCCTAACTGCTGTAATAGCAGAAACTGTCAACTCTAGCTAATATCCTAACTACCCTGCATTCTAAAACTAACACATAACCTCCTCTCTAAAAAACTTCTCAACAGAAAAACAAAACCCATAACAGAAGAAGATCAGAATTCATAACAAAAAAGGAAGAGAGGGACGATGCATTCATAACATAAAAGGCAACAAAAAAAAGAGACTCACCTTTCAACCTCTCTCTCTGAACTGTATCAAGATCTGCATTCTCTCGCTGTATCTTCTTCGACTCTCTCTCTCTCTTTCATCCTCAACCTCCACCATCATTCCTGGATCTTCTCTGCACTATCCATCTCCACTCTGTCTTGAACCATAAATCATCACCTTCAACCTTCACTTGATCTCCTATACGGAACTTCTCATATTCTCTGCACAACAACGTTAGTACTCTGCAATTTTCACACGAATCTTTTCTGCCACTTTCATCCGCTGGAGCTACTCCGGTAGGTAAGCAATGTTCCTTTCTTCATCTCCCTTCTGCATCGTATGATTCATACAAATTGTTAGGTTTTGCCTGAATCCGCGAACGATTGCGAAGAAGATGATGAGCATTTAGCTCCAACAGGAGTGAGTTTAAAATCTGAAGTGAGACGAAGTCTGTGAGCTGAGATGTGATGAGAGAAGAAGAAGAAGCGACGGTGCTCTGCTTGTCGATCGGAGAAGGAGGTTTGAGGAATTTGATCCGTCGTTTGATGAGAGGAAGATGATGATGAGATGGAGAGATGTTGAAGAGGTTTTGATGGTGTTATGCTGGGATAATGGCTCCACGGTGAGAGACAGAGCAAGGCAGAGGAGAGATTGAGGTCGCCGCTGAGTGAGTCGAAGGAGGAGGGAGAGTGATTTTATTATTGTGAAGTTTGATGGTCACAGACAATATAACCCTAATTCCCCAAAACAGCGTCATGTTGCTTTTATTTCCCTTTCAATTTTTTATATTTTATTATTAATATTTTGTAATATTGAATAAAATTTGATGATAAAAAAATCTGATAGTACTTGCTGAAAAGCATTGGGCCGTAAACCGGACTTACTATACTACATCCCACTTATGCCCATTGCCATACGATTTTTGACACCATTGGACTTGGAGAATAAAAAGTAGTTCTTGGATTCAGCCTGTATGGGCCCTAGCGCTTTGCTTCACCAAACAAAAAAAATATTATTATGGATATTATTGCATGGGCCTAGCGCCCCTTGCTGGTTTATACCTATGATACAATTTAACACCCCCCTGACTTCCCTATTTTCCTCTTTATATCTTTTTTAGTTTTAATTTCTTCTTTCATTTTTTATATATAGCAAAATATAATAAAAAACAATGAAAAATAGTAGATTTTAATAGAAATTTTATGAATTAATTGTTTAGTTTTTTTTTCTTCTAGAATTTTTCTTACATTAGAAGTTAATAAAAATACTTTTTTCTTTTAGTTTTTACCCATATTTTCATGCCGTTTTTTCATGTTACTTTTGACGCGCTTGTTCATGGTGCAAGATATATTTTTTGTGCTTTTGGTCATGTAACATAACATGTAGTTATGTGATCAGAGCATACGGCTTATGCTCGCTTCCGTTGTAACACGCCTTATTTCTCATCGTCCTGAGAAATTCATATTATTATTACGTTTTGTCCAGATGCAAGTGATATTTTATGAGCTTTGTGTAGGAACTTCTGATTACACGTTGCATTCGCAACACGCATTTGCCTTTATCTTAGTTGTATATCATTTCTGACTTTGTTTGTTTCTTGGTGAAGCTTTCTCGACGCGTACTCGATGCTTCTTCGTTGCTTTCGTCTACTCTTGACGATTTGCTCGGTTTTGGTAGTCGTCGCTACTACCTTCGTACTTCTTCATATTTTACTATATTTCTTTACCGCTTTTCTAGATATCATGAGAAGTAGGGCTTTACTGCTTTCTGATGCCATGAGAAGTAGGGTAGAGATGTGTGACGGGGGTCTCTATTGTTGATCATGTAAGGAACCCCTCTAGTTTAATTAAAGACCCGTTTAGGGAAATTCCATATTGTTTGCCATTGTGTGCTACTTATGTGTGGTTTGTTTAAAACCCTACCTTTGAGTAGGTATTCTGCAGGCGTGTTTATATTTGTGCCCGCATATATACAGATGATAAGTCCTCAAAAAGAGGCGACTGGGGAGGGTTAGCAATCCACCCCCACAATTTCGTCTGTGTCATCCTTAGCTTGTGACGCACCACGATGCTTCAGAGTTGTTTCTGCTCTTGTGTATAGAGTCATCAAGTGGGGAAGGATTCCGCAATCGAACCCCCACGCTTCATCAGGAGTTTGCATTGGCCAATGATGATACTCTGTGATCGTTCATATTGCCTTCTGTCTCCTACCTCGATCTCATATATCTTTGTTAGGTGTTTAGTCGCTTTGGACATCACCTTTTTGTTTTACATCTCACTCCCGCTTGTTTGTCTCGGGTGATACGCTCCACTTGACTAAAGCATTTCTCTTATTTTCCTTACTATTTTATGTGTGTGGTTCTTTAAGCTTGCTTGCTTTATCCTTGTACATACCATGTTCCCTTAGGATGTGCTTATTTCTTCAGACGCAAGTTAGACTTTAGGTTGCAAGCCATGCATGCTAACATTAAGTAGACGTTTCCCTTTTGTTAATCCAAATCGTAGGGCTACCATTGTATGATAACATTAGGTTAGAAATAGGCTAGTCCCCTGTTTCTTCCCCTTTTGCATATGCATTTAAAATTAAAACATTTTCTTAGCAAATCACAAAACATGTTAATCATACTTAAACCCTTTTTCAAGGTAACAAATAGAAACCAATCAAATGTGGCATCTTGCCTTGAGGGTGTAACTCAAAACCTTTTCAGTAAGGACATGATTAATTTACTTTTGTGCCAACGCATGAGTCTCCAGAGGTCGAGCTGCGGCAGAAGGTGGAATTAACATTATTCATAAAAAACACAAAATAAACAAAAACATGTTAGCCGAATTACGATAGCTTTGATTCCTCAAAAAGGATACGTAGGCATTGGGGTAGGGCCCGAGCGAGTACAACTTTATTTTCCCTACATTCTTTTATCATTCCTTTTGCATGCTTTCCTCCTTAGCAGTAAACAGTAAGCATAGTTTAGACACACCCATAATATAGACAACAAGAGTGGATACCATAGAGTACTACGGGTGTGTGGGGTGCTAATACCTTCCCCTCATGTAACAGACTCCCTTACCCAATCTCTCGGTCGCAAGACCGTGACTTCTCCCTTCTTAGGTTTTCTCGATGTTTACCTTTCCCTTCATGTGGGATAAAAGACGTTCGATGGCGACTTCATTGTTTGATGATTTTCAGCCAGTTGTTTCAAGGTTCTCTGCCAAGTTCTTTAAGAGAAACATAATTTTATACAAGCGCAACCATGACTCAACTTTGCTTTATTGTGTAGATAAGAAGGAAGTAGAGAAGATTATGGAAGATATGTCCGAAGGTATCTTTGTCACTTATTCCAATGGGCATACAATGGCTAAAAAGATTATGAGAGCGGGTTATTATTGGTCGACTATAGAAACTGATTGCCATCGTCATTCAAGGACTTGTCATAAATGCCAGATCTATGTTGACATAGTACACGTACCTCTGGTTCCCCTAAACGTCTTGAATGCTCCCTGTCCATTTGTGATGTGGGGCATTAATATGATTAGAGAGATTAAGCCTACCGCTTCTAATGGACATCGTTTCATCTTGGTCGCCATTGATTATTTCACAAAGTGGGTCGAAGCAGCCTCATTTGCCTTCGTCACCAAGAATGTTATCACCCGGTTCATTAAGCATAACCTTATCTATCAGTATGGCATCCCTAAGAGGATTATCACAGACAATAGTACCAATCTCAATAACACCATGATCATGGAACTCTGCATGCAATTCAAGATCAAGCACCATATTTCTTCTCCGTATAAACCAATGATGAACAACGCAGTGGAAGCCGCCAATAAGAACATTAAGAAGATTATACAGAAGATGACGATGACATATAAAGATTGGTATGATATGTTACTGTTTACTCTTCATGGCTATCATACCTCAGTCCATACATCAATCGGGGCAACTCCATTCTCTCTAGTCTACAATATGGAAACTGTCCTACCTGTCGAAGTTCAGATTCCTTCTCTAAGGATTATGAAAGTCGCAGATTTGGACGAAGATGAGTGGATTCAGACTAGGCTAGAATAGATAAGTTTGATCGACGCGAAAAGGCTTGCGGCATTGTGTCATGGTCAGATGTACCAGAAGAGTATGATCAAAGCTTTCAACAAAAAAGTCAAACATCGGGTATATTAGGCTGGTGACTTGGTAATAAAGCGCATCATCCTACCAAAAGGTGATCCAAGGGGAAAATGGACTCCCACCTATGAAGGGCCATTTATGATTAAGAAGATATTTTCTGGCAGTGCTATGATACTTACCACCATGGACGGTGAAGACTTTCTGCACCCTGTGAATGCAGGCATAGTCAAAAAATACTACACATGAAAGAGACCCGCTAGGTTGACTGGCCTAGGAAAAAATAACGACATACGACGAAACAAAAGGGTTCGGGTAAAAATCAGAGATATATATAAAGATTGTACACTCGATAAGTTAAAAACCTGAAAAGGCGGCTTGGGCAAAAAAGGGTATCCCGATGGACTGAAAACCTGAAAGGGCGGTCCAAGAAAAAGTTAGGGATTAAAGTGTACGACTATGTTCCGTTGGATCGTCTACTTACAACAAGCTTTGTTATCGATGTCAATTTTAAATGGTACAGATCAATTCAATCAACTTCTTTCGACAACGAGGGATGAGATTCCTGAAGACATAAAGGCAATAGCAGAATTGAAACTCGATGGGGTCATTTACACATAGCTATATGTTTTGTTTTTACTCTTTTCATTTAATGACGATTTCCTCTTACTAGGATTTCTGTCTCTATGTACAAAAACCACCTTTTTATAGGCGAATTATCAATACAAACGCAATTTCAGAATTCAAAATTTGTTTTATCTTTTCTATTTTGTTTGCATAAACGTCCAGTGACTAAATTGAATAAAAATATGCATATGGATATAATTACTATTTAGAAATATATGCATAAAAACAGGAATCAACATGTACTCAAGACTATAGGAGTTGGGATAACATTTAAGTCATCCGCAAGTCCCCACAAGAAAATCCCCACAGAATAACCTCTATGGGATTATCCCTACAGAGTTACCTTCACAAGCTCATCCCCGACGGAGATACATAGCCCCTACAAGTCTAATATGCTTTCAAGATAGAAATTGGGGCATCCTCCAACAGTTAACATGACCATACTACCACGCAGATCCCCTTAGAGGATAAAAGAGTCTGATCATTTATCTAACATACGACGGAAACTTCCCCATCATAGTTCACAGGAATCTAATTCCCCAGCTGAGTTCATTTTTCTAACACTGTACAATCCCCTACAGAGTTCTCTTTTCCAGCAGGGCTCATTTCCTCAGCAAAGTATATTTCTCCAGCATGGTTTATTTCCCCAACAGAATTCAATTCCCCGAGCAGAGTTCATTCTTACGACTACCGCAAATCACCAACAAAATTACCTTTTCTAGTAAAGTGTAGCGAAGTTGCTACCCCTAGAAAGTTGCTATGGAATCTGAAATCGAGCCAGACATCATTTAACTTTATCCTACCCCAGAAGAGTTGACATCCATATCGGAAACTCAGTCATACAACACTTATGAAGGTTATTCATCTTTTTATCCCCAATCAGGGTATATAAGAACTAAATTCCCTAGTAGATCGATGAACGACCAATTTTCCTGAACTCTTCTATCCCTAAACAGAAATCCAGCATTCCCAGCAGAGTATCCTCAAATAAGAAAGCATGAACTCCCATCGGAGACATTCTAAACAAGATTGAAGATTCATATACTTTATCCCCAGCGACGGTCAGTGATTTATTTTCCCCAGCAAAGATGTTATACGAAGCTACTGATACACTTCAACA